CCTGTTCCCATGCCAGATTTGGCCTTACCTGCTTCCTTTGATTCTGATAATCCAAGTCACCGTTATCGATATCTAGATTCCTCCAACCAGTGGATCGTAAGACCTGTTCTAGAAACTCATGGTTGGGATCATGATGTTGGTTATGAGGGCATAAATGCAGAAAGATTGTTTGTTGTTAAAGACAAAATACCCTTGTCTTTTTCTGGCCAGGTTACCAAGGATAAAAAGGATGCCAATGTCCAAATGGAAGTAGCTAGTTCAATAAAGTATGGGGAAGGGAAAGCAACTTCATTAGGATTTGATATGCAGACTGTTGGGAAGGACTTGGCTTATACTCTGCGAAGTGACACAAGGTTCAGTAATTTTAAGAAGAATAAGGCAACGGCTGGTCTCTCAGTTACTCTCTTGGGTGATGCTTTATCAGCTGGGATGAAAGTCGAAGACAAATTTATTGCTAATAAACGGTGCCAGATGGTTATGACTGGTGGTGCAATGACTGCTCGTGGTGATATTGCTTATGGTTGTACTTTGGAGGCCCAGTTGAGAGACAAAGATTATCCTTTGGGTCGTTCGCTATCAACTCTTTCGCTGTCCGTAATGGATTGGCATGGAGATCTTGCCATTGGAGGCAATATACAGTCTCAGATTCCAGTTGGACGACATACAAACCTGATTGCTCGTGCCAATGTAAATAATAGGGGGGCTGGACAAATCAGTGTGCGCTTGAATAGCTCAGAACAGCTTCAAATAGCTTTGTTCGGCCTCATTCCTCTGCTCAGAAAGTTCTTCACGTATCCTCAACAGTTGCAGTATGGACAATGATGAAAATTAGAGTAATATTTGTGCTGCAGCAGCCTTGTGGTATAGGTCATCATCAAGAGTGGGTGAGGAGGTCATCTTGTGATGGTGATCATCACTAGTGAGTGATTCTAAGCTGCTTGTTTCAACTCATTTCAATCTAGTATTTCATTGATCATAGTGATTTTAGCTTCTTAACTAGATAATGGCAGTTGGTGAATTTTGTTCTCTTAAGGTACTGGACTCACAGTTGCTTCTTTTTCAGTCAGGCCTTTGTCTTAATTGTGTGTGGAAATTCATTTATATTGCCAAAGTGGTTGATTGCTTGGCCTCTCTTCCATTCTCTCCAGTCATTTGGTATTGGTTGTGCATGGTTAAGGGCTTTGAATATAAAATTGAGTGTTTTACTTTCTTTACTTGATGTTCTTTGTGCATGGCAGAGGGCTCTGTAAACAATCAACTTTTAAGTCTTTTTTGGGAAAGGTAGAGCAGCACCAATAGGTTCCCCCAGTTTCTTTGTCTAGTATAGGGTGAGCCATCACCAGGATGACAATTGACAAATGCGGAGGTCATCTTTTGCTTGAGAGATGGTGTTTGCTGTTTTCCTCTTCGGTGTATTTGGAACGCAGTCTTATTCTTGACAGCATGTGCCTTTTTGATGCAGATTTATGAATTGTGCATCAATTAGACTTTTCCAACTCTGGTCTTGGAATCTGCCGAGATCTGAGTGACAAGTCATGACTTAGTTTTCATTTCTGTTATCTGTTAGTTGAAGATCATAATTTTCATCATGCCAACAGCTAGATCCTCTAAGAAACAGTGGTAGAACAGATGTTTAATAAGAATTAAACTCTACTTGGGCTGAGATCCACCTCTATATTTTCTTTTGAGACCTACCTACGGAAGTGGGTCTTATAGATGTGGTCAACAATGTGGTCAGTATATCTAGTCCAAAAATGCCCGTATACCAACCGATAGAAAAAGAGAAAAAGAAAGTGCATAATTTATAAGTCATATGTGTCATCACTTCACAATGGGGTCTTTAGAAAGGGGCAATTGCTAACATTCTGCCAGCAAGGTGCCAAGGTTTAACAAGCCCATGAAAGTCGCATATCCTTTCAAGTGATGTTTTAGTTGAGGGTATTGATGCTGTTTTGTATAAATCATTGAAGACAAGGTGGGGTTTGGAGCAGTTGGTGGGTTTAAATGGTATTTACCTCGTTTCGTTCCCCTACTGCAATTATCGTTGATCAAAGAAACTGCATAAAAATACTAACTAGTCTATGGTCGTCTGCTACTCATTGTCTCCGCTTGATTGGATGAATATGCTTGTGGCAAATTTGATATATAGTTGTGGCTAGTTCATTGTTGTCACGTCACGTAACTTTGTTGTGGGTGAATAATTCTATTGTAGAAAAGAAAAAAGAAACCAGTAAAAGGACTTGTAAGGTGGGTTGGCTTCATACTTCATCCTTGCATGAGAATATTTCAAACGAGTAATTTTTAGGGGCTTCAAAACCTATCTCAAAAGTTAGGGTTTTAAACTTATGTGCTAATGTTATACTTGTTTATGTCATTCGCCATATTATTTGGTGACTGAAATACGAGAAATTCTTTTGCGTCTTTAATATTATTATTTTCATACCATGCGGTGTGGTGACATAAAGAAACCCAAAATTTGCTCACCAAATCCAATAGAAAATACAAATATCTCCAGCAAGTCCCAACTTTGTATAACATATTAAAAGGCAGCAAAGCACAAAAAAACTGTTAAACAAATAGTAAAACAAACCCACGATTTCCACCACTCTTCTCAGTCAATAATGCAGAGCTACAGCATTGTATTCGACAATGGCAAGAGTAGTATTAATAAAATAAGTCTTGGCCAACGCAAACCCACGTGCCAATCGGAAAACACCAGTTCCACCGATTATTGGCAACTCTCTGACTGAATGCACAACTGGGTTACGACCCAAAACGGTGAGGCTGCTCCCATTGTGCTTGCCGCTTGTGAAAACAAAGTTCATAGCCATAAGAAGACTCACTTCCTCTTGGGAGGCGAATCCATACCCAAGAGCTCAGACGTGGGTTCGGATCCCTTGGTTAGTGCGTTGTCAAAGACGTTGACTAGCCCGAACACGGTGGGCGATTTGAAGGTGTTGGGTGCTCGGGCTACCCCCACTGAGGTCTGGTTTGGGCCCAAAACGACGTCGTGGAAGTAGAAGCGCAGACGGGTCAGCTTCTGTTTTGCTAGATGAAGGTTTTGAAACCACTGCTCAGTCTCAGATCCTTCAATGGTGCTTTGTACCATTGGCATGGCTAGGCATAGTGAGATCAAAAGGTTTAGAAATATTAGACCAACCTTTCCCATTTTTGTGTCTCTGTGTACGTATCTCTCAATTGAGAAAACTTTGAAGGGCGAGGAGGGATTTTATAGTGGAACTGTGGAAGCATCCAACCTTATTCTCTGTATTTTAATTGTTTTTCTTCAATTGGTGGCCCACTAGCCCATAATCCTGCATAAATTGGCACCTTGTTGCATGATTAATTTAGAACAAATAAGCTACATTTTTTAATCTCTCCTTAACGTGAATTTTAATTTCGATTTGCATAATCAAATGCACTCATGTGGTCCTTATTTCATGGCGGGAAGAAAAGTCATAAAAATTCAAGAAAAAAAAAAGAGAGGAGAAAAAGCAGTTGGACTGGAGGAAACAATGATGGTGGATGCAACACTTTAGCTTATCATAATCCAACGTTTTACATGACAAACAAAGTTCAACACCAAACCAAAGACACTTTTGTGGGTCTTGGTAGGGCATTGGATTATCATTAAAGGAGTTGTAGGTAAGTTCCTTTGATCTAAACTAAGCATGGGTGCTAATGATTTTTTGGTCTAATGATGCACCTTGTTGAAGAAGATCTAAGTTCAAATCTCATCTACGACACTTGTTAATATACATATAGTTATTCTCTCATCCGAATGTCCGCACATTAGGAGTGAATCTCTGGTGTAGATGAGGGTGGTTGTATGATGGCATTGGGCTTCGTGGCACATTTGTTGCCATGTTAGGAGTTAATAGACTTGTTAACAGAAAAATTAACGGCGTGCATGAAATTGATAAGAAAATCAACTTTGTGTATGCGATTAAGACGTAAAAAATTTGATGTATCGAATTCTAAAAGTCAATAAATTTTACCGTAATAAAGTGAAAATTACCCTACAAATATCTTCAAATTTAAAAGAATCAAAAGTAGTGTAAAGTCCAAACAAATTCATCATCACAATGCATAGTGGCGGACCCGGCATGATTTACCTTAGACAAATTTATTGAAGTGAAATTAAATTGTCATGACAAGGATGACAAATCGTGGAGAAGAATCACTCAGTGTCATGGAAAATCGAGGCCAAAAAAGGTGTTTACTTTTGCATGGCCAAATCACTTTCATTTCCTTTATTTTTTGTGATGGCAAATCAGACAATAAAGCTAAGCAATTATATCTACCCGCCTATGATTTATTATCAAAAATGATTCTTTGCATCAAATTACTTTTTTCAGATGCAATTTCCTTTATTTTAATATAAACATGTCACAAGAAGAAGGTTTGAGATGTTTGGACAGGTGTCGAATCTCCAAAGGACCAGAACGGTGGCTAGGAAGAGTCACAGTGCAAGTGGTGGGTTTTTATTCCCTATGTTACATGAAAAATATGTGGAAGAGAATTGATAGGAATCAAAACGGCAGGGCTGAAATACTAGGAAAATTTGTCGACAGAAAATCGTTCCATAATTTGATAGACCTTTTACGCTACCAAATTCTTGGATCACATATAATTATCAAGGCATAGAAAAGCTTTATATTGACCAGTCATCAAAAAGCTATTTCAATATGATTTTTATGTCAATTTTATAATCTAGAATTTAGGTCACCAACCTAAAGAAAATAAGATGATGAGTATAAAAAATAGCAATTTTCCTTTGAACAGACATTAAGCGTTGCATTGGTGATTTTCGACCGTTGATTCATATTTTACGGCCTATGAGAGAGAATAGGGGACTCTAAGAAAATAGGTATCACGGCTCAACATTAAGCAAATAGCAAATTGAACCGACAAATTCCTAACTATTTGCACCATATCAATCGAATATAAATTCATCACCGACTATTTCTAATAAAGGTAAGACTCATCAAGAAATGGTAGATGACATAAATGACATTATTATTCGACTATAAAAGTATATAAAACAAGTAGTAGACGGATGAAACATCAAAAGAAAAAGTAACTCACTCTAGTGAATTACAGTAACATTGTACCCAACAATTGCATCACCCGTGGTAAAATCAATCCAATGTGTCTTGGCAATCGCATACCCCCGGCCCAACCGGAAAACCCCGGTTCCAGCCACGACCGGCATCTCCCGAACAAGGTTCATAGCCTGGTTCTTACCCAGAATACTAATCGAGCTACCGTTGTACATGCCATCCGTGAACCCAAAGTTCATGGCCATAATCAGCCCAAGCTCTTGCTGGCAAGATGACCCGTACAGTCCTTGGGCCCGACCCACGAGCTTGGAGTTCGGGTCGGCTGTTTCAGTTAAGCAAAGCTCCGAAAAGGGTGGGGGACTTATTGGTGTCTGTGGCTTGGGCTACACGCACGGCGCTTGGGGTCTTCCCGCTGACTGTGTCGTGGAAGTAGAACTGGAGGTTGGTCACTGTCTCCGACGTCGTCTTCTTTCTCGTCTTGAGCTTCTTGGCCCACTTCAGCTCCGTGGAGTTTTGAGCTCCTTCAGTGGCTGCCAGTAGAGAGATGAGCATGAGCAAAATCAGAGGGGTTGCTGGGTTTGCCATTGGGTGTAGTTTTGGAGGGTGTTTGCTGGGTTTGGGTTTGCAAACTGGGTTAAATAATGGGCGAGAGTTCAAACGCCGTTAAGCTACCCATCAACTAGAAGAAGATTTTCATTGGGGGCCACTAGTTATAAGTGGCCAACTCTCTTCTTTCACCAGGATTTTGTCTCAACTTTCCACAAAGAAAAAACAAGTCAAAAACACAGCTAGGGTTTTCAATTTAGAGTGTCTAAATTTCTTTTAATATTTTCGATATTTAAAAAAAAAAAAACTACTTTTAATATTTCATTAGCGAAAAGAATAAAAGTAAGACAGATTAGGGCATGTTTTTTAGTGGGGGACCCATAAATTTTGTTCCTAAAATTATAATTACAAATGTGAAGCAAGCAAAACAAAAACAGAAACTAAAAGAGAAAATGGGTCGTAAAGGACCTTCTAGTGTAGTGATTTGGAACAAATGCTTCTAGGTTAGAGTCTTATCATCCGTGTAGTGTATGTGAGTTTAGTATATTATTGCCCCTCTCAATATATAGGAAAGGTCCTTAAAATTTTTTTGAGAAAATGGGTCCGTAGTTTAAGATACATGGATGATGTCATAGTTTTTCCTATCAAGAATTGAAGAGAAACAAAACTTTCTACAATTACTAAACAGGGTTTAAACCTTAAATTGAAACTATAGAAAAGCAATGCAAAATGAAATTTTTTATGCCTTTCAAATAATTAATGGGTAAGGAAGGAGTGGCGGTGGCCTGGTCACCATCATATAAATCAAAATTTCATAATTGCACGAAAAAGTTGGTTGGCCTATATTATTTCTTGCCGACCCGAACAAATCCAGAAGTTCTTTTTTCTTTTTGTACTTTGGTTGGAATAAAAACATATATGCATGGCTGTTGCGTAATTAAGGAACCCGAAATTCAAATGGGATGCTATCTATATATGCATGTTTGTTTACCTAAGTTTTTATTTTTAGCAACTGTCTCAAGTATACATGCGAGCATTAACGACTGTTTTAAGTATACAATACGCGAGCATGAGTGACTGTCTCAAGTATTCCTTTTATCGGTTAATTAACAACATTTGTTATATTTTTCTTTCATATAAATCCAATCACCAATTATAATTCGTGGGAATTAGTAATTAACACAAAGTTCATATTATAATGGCTGGTTTATTTAATTTAATTATTCCAGTAAAACACAAATTATTTCCATGATCAACATTGCTCAATTCAATAATGAACTAGAGTAACCTTGTACTCAAGAATGGCGTCACCGTTGGTAGCATTCAAAAATTGTGTTTTCACCTTGACAAAACCTTTCGCCATTCTAAACCTCCCTCTCCCTCCCACGACTGCCAGCTCACGCTCCCCCGGCTCCATAATCGGGTTCCTCGAGAACACGCTGAAGGAGCTCCCGTTAAACTTACCCGTCGTAAAACCGAAATCCGCGTACATCACTAGCCCTAAGCTGTTCTCGTCCTGGACGGATGACACGTAGAGCCCCTGCGCATTCCCGACCACTTTTGAAGTGAACTCGGGGCCCTCACGGAGCGCGTCGTCGATGGCCCAGACGCTGCCGAATGGCGTCGCCGACTTGTCGTATTTCGTGCCTTTCGGACGTGCGACTTCTACGGCGGAGGGCTTGGTGCCGCTGATGATGTCGAAGAGGTAGAAGTGGAGGCGCGTGACTTTTTGTCTGTGGCGGACGTTGGGCAGCGTGGCAGAGTGGTAGGTAGAGAGTGTTGGTGTGATCGCGGTGGTTAGGAGAGTCAAACCCAAAACGAGGACGAATCGACTGCCTTCCATCTCTTTTTTTTTGGTTTGTCGGTATTTGTTTGTTTGTGTGTGGGGACAGTTGGGGTTGAGGTGTTGTCTTATATAGCAGATCAACATTTGTGATCGGTTTGGAGTTGGATGATCCTAGCCGTTACATTGTGATTCATTTTGTGGTAATTAGTCTTATATGATAATAATATCTATTAGGGCAAAACTATATTTTCTGCTTAATCAGTCCTAAAGATGAAGATTTCTCTCTGTTGTTTTATAATTTCAGTTACCATATATGAATGGGGACATCAGATATGACATATATTTTGCTTAATTTTCTGTACTTGTCTGGAATGGAGATTAAGAACTATTTCGATTCATAAATTCTCCGATATTTAGTTATATATAAGGAATAAAAAAGCGGTATTGCTAGGGGCACAAACTCTTTACCAACTTATTTTCTTCTTAATTAGTCCAAAGATGGATATTTTCTTTGTTTTCTTTGTTGTTTAATTCAGGTTACCATAAATGAATGACAAGATATGATATTTTGCTTATTTTTCTTTACCTTGGTGGAATCCGGATTGGAGATTAGAACTATTCCGATTCATGAATCAAAAATTATATATGTTACACATTGAAAATCAGGATTTAGATGAGTTACTATTCATTACCATATTCCCAACTTCTCCAGTTCTTGACTTCTCCCACTCTAATTCAAGTAAATATGAAATTATCAAAATTTTGTCCCAACTAAGATGTATCATGTAATTTATAGATGACATTACAACACACTTGGTTCATGATTGCGAAAAAAGAAGTAAACTTCGGTTGAAGGCTTATTCTAAATCATTATCAAGGCAAAAATGTAGGAGCCTTCCTAACTTTAGTAGCTTGCTCAAAACCATAGGCAATCTGGATCAGCTTTGGCTCAGAACCCTTCAGTCCCCCAAAGGTTATGCCAAAGGGCACACCCTTCTTGTCATATCCAGCAGGGACACTAATTCCTGGGAAACCCCCAATTGCAAGCACAGGGGAAACATCTGAACCAGGAGTCACCAATGCATCTAGCCTGTTGTCTGTCAACAATTTCTCAAACCCATATTTTGTCAGCTTTGCTAGATTCAACAATGCAGCCTTTTCATTGTTGCCTATCCCATTTGTTGCTTGGGCTGCGAGAAAAATGTCTTGTCCAAATTCCTTGATCAATTCCTTCACAGCAAAATCAAGTTTATTGGTCATCATTGAACATGGTTTATAGGGAACTTATTGTGCATGTGTATAATTTACTTACCACACCCGAGAACTTGAGGTTGAAGGCGATTACATCTGCCAATGATCGAACTGGAGATACCACCAGGTCTTTTAGATATGCATTCAAGGCTAGCTTGAACTCAGCCAGTGATGCTGTTGCTTCCCCACTCAAATTGAAGTTCAAGATAACATCAATGTTGGCTATTTCTAAATGGTCTACCAAAACAGCACCTCCTTGCCTGCAATTTGCAGAAAGAACATTGTATCATGTTAAACACTACATTTAATTGGTTCAATTGGACTAGTAACGAGCTCGAAAGTGCATACAGTGCTACCTTAGAGTCTGGAAATATTTCTCAAACGCTTGAAGCTGGGGAGATCCGCTGCCTGAAGTGAAGAAGGGATCCCTCACTATTCCAAGTCTCTTTCCTTTGAGCCCGTACGCCTGAAGAAATTGTTTGTAGCCACCGCTTGGAATGTACTTGGAGGCTTCTCTGGTTGCTTGATCATTGTAATCATAGCCTACAATGGCATCAAGAACATGGACGGCATCTGAAACTGTCCTGGTGATGGGCCTATTACATTCAACAGAGTATAATACTACATTAGCTAAGGTTGCGGAAGTATAAACAAGTAATGAACATCATAACACAAAGAGAATTTTCTTGGGCTAAGTTTTCTAATTGAGATGGAGGAACAGAGTAGAACAATCTAGACAATCAAATGTTTGGTTTCGATTAGGAGCACGTACCCAACGGTGTCCTGTCTGGGAGTTATCGGAATCACCCCTGCACGGCTGGTGAGGCCAACTGTTGGTTTGATGCCCACAACTGAGTTGAAACTTGCTGGACATAATATGGAGCCATCAGTCTCAGTCCCCAGAGATACTGCTACCAAATTTGCTGCAGCTGAAATTGCTGATCCACTGCTTGATTCACAGGGAGTTGCTGATAGCACATAAGGGTTCTGCACACCACCATAGAGCAATGAAATTGTAATTACAAGTTATGCGAAAGATCCATACTAATTCACAAGAATTTGACAAGAACTTCAAAGCTCACCTTTCCTTGGCCACCTCTGGCACTCCAGCCAGCGGGTGCTGTAAGAGACCTGAACTGAGCCCACTCACTTAAGCTAGCCTTCCCCAATATGATGGCTCCCGCGCTCCTCAACTTGCTCACCACACCGGCATCACGAGGCACGACTGAGCCAAGCAGAGCAAACGAGCCAGCAGTGGTGTTAAGCTTATCTTTGGTTCCAATGTTGTCCTTGAGCAAGATAGGAATGCCATGTAACCCAGAATAGTAACCGGGGCCCTTTGCCTTTCGCTGATAGTCCGCCTTATCAGCTTGGTAAAGGGCATCTGGGTTCACCTCTATGACTGCATGAAGGACCGGGTGGAGCCTGCGGATTTCTTGAAGGTAGAACTCAACAAGTTTTCTTGAAGTCAGTTGGTTCTGTTTGAAAGCTTGTTGGAGATCAGAGATTGTAGCTTCTCTAATATGGAACCCATGGACAGAAAAAGTTTGGGACCCAAATGAATCTAAGGATAGAAGAATGAGAAGCAATGATGGGAAGAGAGGAAAGCATGATGGTGACTTTGCAGCCATTGAAGTAATGTAGTGGCTGTTTTGAATTGCTCAGAGGAGTTCTACCAACTACAATTTATATAAACAAAAATTTTGGACCACTGACAGTTTCTTAATCCCAATCAAACCTACAAAATCTGACTAACCTTTATCCATCAACGGAGAGTCACCACCACCACCAGTTGCCATTTACATATTAAAGCCCAGCTACCCCCATCCTCCCTGGTGTTCGTTCTCCAAAGTGATGGGCTTCCCTGTCCTCCACAGGTGTAAGGTTTTTCGTCCAGTTAGGCTCTGACGCACGCCTTCAGGGGCGGCGTCCTTAGTTGTTTTGTTTGGTGTGCTTTGTCTGTTTGGACCAATGTTTTGAAAGGCATGCCTAAGCGCGCCTGAGAGCGTGAGGCGAGGCGAGGCGATGGTAAAACGCCTCAGGCGTACCTCTGTTTAGCGATTGTTGTTAAAGGCATACGCCAAGTTACGGAGGCGTACGCCAAATTCCAAAAGCGTACGCGTGAAATTGCAGAGGCGTTGCAGAGCGGAGAAGAAGACGATGAAACCTAACTTTATTTTTCATTTGAGTACCTCAATTTTCAAAATGGTAACATGGTCCTTTAATTTTAGTTTTGTTTGAACAATTAGTCCCACCGTTACTTCTGTCAATTTTTCTGTTAAATGCAGGGGCAAAATTGTATTTTTATATCAAAATTGATTAAAATATGAATAAAAAATTAAAATTAAACTCTCTCTCTCCCCTTCTATCCCGATTTATACTCCCCCTAAAGTTTATTTTTTTTTGGGTTGGTTTTTTATTTGATTTTTTTTATTATTATTTTAAAGAAATTATTTTTTATTATTTTTTTGGTTTAAATTTAAAAATACTATTTTGCTCTTGCATTTAACGGAAAAAGTTAACAAAATTGGCGGCAGGACCATTTGTCCTAACCAGCTAGCACCAATTGCAATTTGCCAGCTGACACTTGGAAAGTTGATTTTATCATTCTTTTATGCTTGCTTTAGAAATAGAGAGAATATATGCATATGCAAACAGAACCTTCCCATATTTCAGGTTGTGTGAATGAAAACCTTTGCAGCCTGAAGTGGGATTGAAATTATATTGTTTCTAACCATGAGATGTGGTGTGGTGGTAGCTTACCTCATTCCTTAATCATGAGGTTGGGGGTTCGATCCCCACCCATGGAAATGGAGCGCATTTCATGGCCAGCCGTTTACCTCCATTGGGAGAGCTCCCGCGGCGAAAGGGATTAGTCACTGCTGTCGGCGGGGGGTAACCCTGGGGCTCACCTAAAAAAAAAAAAAAAAAAATTATATTGTTTCTTTCTTTTTTATCTTTTTCCGCACATTTTCCTTCAAAGTTCATGATAGCTGGTCTGGTCCCAAATCAAGGGTTCAGATTATCAGAAACGAACTACCAACGAGTGTCACATATATTTTGCTTAATTTTCTGTACTTGTCTGGAATGGAGATTAAGAACTATTTCGATTAATAAATTCTTCGATATTTAGTTACATATAAGGAATAAAAAAGTGGTATTGCTAGGGGCACAAACTCTTTACCAACTTATTTTCTTCTTAATTAGTCCAAAGATGGATATTTTCTTTGTTGTTTAATTCAGGTTACCATAAATGAATGACGAGATATGATATTTTGCATATTTTTCTTTACCTTGGTGGAATCCGGATTGGAGATTAGAACTATTTCGATTCATGAATCAAAAATTATATACGGGGTTATACATTAAAATCCGTAATACGTGGAAAATCAGGATTTAGATGAGTTACTATTCATTCTCTACCAACTTCTCCGGTTCTTGATGACTTCTCCCACTCTAATTCAAGTAAACATGAAATTATCAAAATTTTGTCCCAACTAAAATGTATCATGTAATTTATAGATGACATTACAACCACTGGCGGACCCAGAAATTTGTTAGCGGAGGTGCAATATTGACTAAGTATGAAAAATGGTTTTTCGGAATAATCATTTTCTCAAGATAATTTTTGGCGGCTTTTATTCCTTACACTTCAAATAAAAAAACTTGATTTTATAGGATTTTAGTATGAAGTATATATTGACTTAATGAGCCATCATTATTAGCCTAAATCGTATTTTGCACTAAAACCGATTTTTCATATTTTGATTTGGTGGGAATTTGATTTTCTAGTATTTTTTTTAAAAATCCAAATGGGGGGTACTTCCTTATTTACATTGTAAACTTAAGTAAAAGGACAAAGACATTTACTTAAATGTTGAAAATGGAAATAAGGTAATCTATACACTAGTTGAGTAAAGGGGCAATTTGAAGCACCTACAATGGTTTTTCCGACGATGGGAGGTGCAGCTGCACCTCCTTGCGCCTTAATAGGTCCGCCACTGATTACAACACACTTGGTTCATGATTGCGAAAAAAGAAGTAAACTTCGGTTGAAGGCTTATTCTAAATCATTATCAAGGCAAAAATGTAGGAGCCTTCCTAACTTTAGTAGCTTGCTCAAAACCATAGGCAATCTGGATCAGCTTTGGCTCAGAACCCTTCAGTCCCCCAAAGGTTATGCCAAAGGGCACACCCTTCTTGTCATATCCAGCAGGGACACTAATTCCTGGGAAACCCCCAATTGCAAGCACAGGGGAAACATCTGAACCAGGAGTCACCAATGCATCTAGCCTGTTGTCTGTCAACAATTTCTCAAACCCATATTTTGTCAGCTTTGCTAGATTCAACAATGCTGCCTTTTCATTGTTGCCTATCCCATTTGTTGCTTGGGCTGCGAGAAAAATGTCTTGTCCAAATTCCTTGATCAATTCCTTCACAGCAAAATCAAGTTTATTGGTCATCATTGAACATGGTTTATAGGGAACTTATTGTGCATGTGTATAATTTACTTACCACACCCGAGAACTTGAGGTTGAAGGCGATTACATCTGCCAATGATCGAACTGGAGATAACACCAGGTCTTTTAGATATGCATTCAAGGCTAGCTTGAACTCAGCCAGTGATGCTGTTGCTTCCCCACTCAAATTGAAGTTCAAGATAACATCAATGTTGGCTATTTCTAAATGGTCTACCAAAACAGCACCTCCTTGCCTGCAATTTGCAGAAAGAACATTGTATCATGTTAAACACTACATTTAATTGGTTCAATTGGACTAGTAGCGAGGTCGAAAGTGCATATAGTGCTACCTAAGAGTCTGGAAATGTTTCTCAAACGCTTGAAGCTGGAGAGATCCGCTGCCGGAAGTGAAGAAGGGATCCCTCACTATTCCTAGTCTCTTTCCTTTGAGCCCGTACGCCTGAAGAAATTGTTTGTAGCCACTGCTTGGAATGTACTTGGAGGCTTCTCTGGTTGCTTGATCATTGTAATCATAGCCTACAATGGCATCAAGAACATGAACGGCATCTGAAACTGTCCTGGTGATGGGCCTATTACATTCAACACAGTATAATACTACATTAGCTAAGGTTGCAGAAGTATATATTGTTGTTGAAACAAGCAATGAACATCATAACACAAATGGTATTTTCTTGGGCTAAGTTTGCTAACTGAGATGGAGGAACAGAGTAGAAAAATCCAGACAATGAAATGTTTGGTTTCGATTAAGAGAACGTACCCAACGGTGTCCTGTCTGGGAGTTATCGGAATCACCCCTGCACGGCTGGTGAGGCCAACTGTTAGTTTGATGCCCACAACTGAGTTGAAACTTGCTGGACATAATATGGAGCCATCAGTCTCAGTCCCCAGAGATACTGCTACCAAATTTGCTGCAGCTGAAATTGCTGGTCCACTGCTTGATCCACAGGGAGTTGCTGATAGCACATAAGGGTTCTGCACACCACCATAGAGCATTGAAATTGTAATTACAAGTTATGCGAAAAATCCATACTAATTCACAAGAATTTGACAAGAACTTCAAAGCTCACCTTTCCTTGGCCACCTCTGGCACTCCAGCCAGCGGGTGCTGTAAGAGACCTGAACTGAGCCCACTCACTTAAGCTAGCCTTCCCCAATATGATGGCTCCCGCACTCCTCAACTTGCTCACCACACCGGCATCACGAGGCACAACTGAGCCAAGCAGAGCCAACGAGCCAGCAGTGGTGTTAAGCTTATCTTTGGTTCCAATGTTGTCCTTGAGCAAGATAGGAATGCCATGTAACCCAGAATAGTAACCGGGGCCCTTTGCCTTTCGCTGATAGTCCGCCTTATCAGCTTGGTAAAGGGCATCTGGGTTCACCTCTATGACTGCATTAAGGACCGGGTTGAGCCTGCGGATTTCTTGAAGGTAGAACTCAACAAGTTTTCTTGAAGTCAGTTGGTTCTGTTTGAAAGCTTGTTGGAGATCAGAGATTGTAGCTTCTCTAATATGGAACCCATGGACAGAAAAAGTTTGGGACCCAAATGAAGCTAAGGATAGAAGAATGAGAGGCAAAGATGGGAAGAGAGGAAAGCATGATGGTGATTTTGCAGCCATTAAAGTAATGTAGTGGCTGATTTGATTTGCTCAGAGGAGTTCTACCAGCTACAAATTATATAAACAGAGTCTTTGGACCACTTACAGTTTCTTAATCTCAATCGGGCATGGTCTCTTTGTAGCCTAGTTCAAGTTTTTACAAGATGCTTTAGTTAAATGCATGCCATTGTGCAATAAAATACAACAATAACAAGGCTAAGAGTATATGGCAATGAATCGATAATCGGCTAAACTCTGCAGCATTTTACGAATATTCGAGAAGAAGATAGTCCAGATACATGCAGAAACGATTTTTAGCATTTTATTTGGTTATAAAAAATTGCCTTGCCATGACCAATTCATAGCCTTGGCCGTCTCACTTCTAGTAAATATAGCTTCTACTGCGTAATTGCTTGTATTTGGGATTTAATCGATCTCGTCTTGTCTATTTGGATTTGGGAAAATGCTTATCAGAGTTTTAATACATCAGCCATAGTAAGTAGGTGGAATTAGTGACTTATTATTACATAACCTTGGACATTTAACCCACATCAAAACAAATGGCACACTGATTATTCATGAGCAGTATGATTTTTGTTTTGTTTGAAATACAACATGATATGAACCCACAGTGTCAATTGACTTGAGATGGAGCCCATCATGGGCCATTAGCAGCATAATTGAACTTCACTCTTTTAACTCAATGGAAATGCTAGTGATTTCCTTGGAGGTGCTCTTGAGTGGCTAGGCTGGGTCTTTCAGTGGCTGGAGCTATGGTGGGGATTGAGGACTAAACTTCAGGAGTGAGAGTGGCTGTGCTAGAGATAAGTTGGTCTTAAGAACCAACAGGTGGAGGCTTCCTGATCTTAGTTGCTTGCTCAAATGCGTACGCGATCTCAATCAGCTTTGGCTCTGAACCCTTTAGCCCCCCAAAGCAGATTCCAAAAGGGTACTTTTTAGTGTCATGGAATCCTGCCGGCACAATAATGCCCGGAAACCCACCAATTGCAAGGATAGAAGAAGCAGTGCTAGAATAAGTCACCAAGGCATCTAGGCTCTTATCTGTCATTAGCTTCTCAAATCCATCTCTAGACAGTCTTTCTAAATTTGACAACACTTCCAGCTCTTTAGGTCCTATTCCATTAGTCTTCTCAGACTCTTCTAAGAGATCTTGTCCATATTCATTGATCTTTTCCTGTGAATGATCAATAAGCATGATCTTTTAGTACATGAACTTATCTAGGGATTATCAAATATGTGCAAAATGTATGTGTATTAATGCATTAGCCCAGATATTTATATATATACACACACACACACACACACACACACACTCAACTACTCAAGCATGTAAATCAAGTCTTTGAGAACAGAAAGTAACAGGCCATAAATTGACAAGTACATCAAATTGATCCTATTTACTCACCACTTTCGAGTTTTTATTGTTGTAGGCTATCACATCTGCCAAGGATCGCACTGGGGAAGCCACCAAACCCTTAAGGTATGTGTTTAAGGATATTTTGAACTCAGCAGACAATGCAGTCCGTTCATCACTTCCAATAACGATATCGATCAAATTGGCTATTTCCAAATGGTCTACCAAAATAGCATTTCCATTCCTAAATTAAACATACCAGAACTTATTACGTAATGAGAATTGATGGAGGATATATGTCTCCAGTTGAGACTAATACTAGAGGATGGAAACCTGCTTACCTCAGTGTGTTGAGATGTTGTTCAAAAATTTGAGTCAAGAAAGGGTCATCCTCCAAGTCATAGAAGGCTCTCAATATCCCTAATCTCTTTCCTCCAAGTCCATCGCATTTGAGAAATTGTGCATAGCCACCCTCGGGAATGTACTTCGATGTCTCAATTGTTGCAATATCATTGTTGTCGGAGCCTGCAATGACATCAAGAACATAAGCAGCATCTGATACTGTCCTACAGATGGGCCTGCTCAATCCAACACCAAAAAACAGTGAGAAAAAACTAGTCATCTGACTATAAAAGGTATCCAAAATTAATGCTACATACCCAACTGTGTCCTGTCTCGGGGAGATCGGGACAACTCCTGCTCGACTAGTAAGACCAACTGTTGGTTTGATGCCAACTACTGAGTTATAACTGCATGGACTTAAAATTGATCCATCTGTCTCAGTCCCCAGTGCCACTGCTACCAGACTTGCTGCCACTGATATTGCTGACCCGCTGCTTGAGCCGCTAGGCGTCTCCTCAAAATTGTACGGGTTCTGCACTCCACCAAACTGGCTAAGTCTACTGATCTTTTTTTCCTTGTACAGTTTAAATTATAAAAATGGTCTCATACCATACAGATCACCAGGCGGACTCTTGTTTGACTGTATGTTTGAGATTGACAGTTTCACAACATAACCATACCAAATATCATGAGAGAACTTAACCCTTTAAATTAATCAAACAAGTGATAATTTATGATATATATCAACTCACCACCCCCTGGCCACCTCTGGCACTCCAACCAGAAGGTGCACTATTGGACCTCCAATTGGACCACTCACTCAAGCTGGCCTTTCCCAGTATGATGGCCCCAGCCTCCCTCAACTTGGTCACCACGCCGGCGTCCCGGGGCACAACAGAGCCAAGCAGAGCATAAGAGCCAGCTGTGGTGTTCAACTTGTCCTTGGTTGCAGTGTTGTCCTTGACCAGAATGGGAATGCCATGCAACTTAGAGAGTGGCACAGATGGTGGCTTGGTCTTGCGCTCGTAGTCTGCCTTTTCGGCAAGGTCAAGCGCATCCGGGTTCACTTCTATGACCCCCTTGAGGAAAGGGTTAAGTCTGGTGATTTCTCCAAGGTAAAATTGGACAAGTTGCTTTGAGGTGAGCTGGTTGAGCTTGAAAGCAAGTTGGATATCATCTATGGTGGCTTCCCTGATTGAGAACCCTTGGCCTGTAATTGTTTGTGGCCCAGATGACAATGTAAACAGAAGAATCACAAGTAAGCAGTGGACTAGCTGCAGACTCACAGAGTTCATAACTTCAAACTTTGAAACACAACTGGGCTGAGGTCTGAGATATCGGCCTATTAATCCCTTTCTCAGAGTACCGAAACTGAAACTGGGGAAGCCATTTCTTCTCCCAAACTAATTAAGCCCTAATTGAGTACCCATGTACCAATCAAGCAAAAATTCAATTAATTTAAATCGAATCAAACCTACAAAATCTGACTTACCTTTATCCATCAACGGAGAGTCACCACCACCACCAGTTGCCATTTACACACTAAAGCCCAGCTACCCCCATCCTCCCTGGTGTTCCTTCTCCAAAGTGATGGGCTTCCCTGTCCTCCACAGGTGTAAGGTTTTTCGTCCAGTTAGGCTCTGACGCATGCCTTCAGGGGCGGCGTCCTAGGTTGTTCTTGTCCTAGCTGGTGTTTTTGTTGTTGTCTTTAGTTGTTTTGTTTGGTGTGCTTTGTTTGTTTGGACTTCTTGTTGTGTTGCCCAGGGGTGTTTCGGTTGTTAGTCTGGTTTCCCTTTTGTCTGGTTGTGTTATTTCCTTCCTTTCCCTTTCGTTTTTTAATGAAAGTGTGTTTCGAACAAATTAAAAAAAAAGAAAGAAGCCCAGCTACCTCTCATCTCTCTCATTTTTCTGTCTGGTGCGATTCCTAAGGGAATATGTAATAGATTCTTTTTTTTCTTTCAAATATTTTTAATGCAGCATATTTATGCTGCTATTAATCAAAGAGCAATTTGATTAGATGATATTCAATTGGTTAATTCTCACGGGATAGGAGTTTCCCTTAGGCTTATTATTTAGTTAGTTATATTACGTTTCTTATGGTTATGTTATGGATCATGTTTATAATGTTTAAATCATACATATTTTTTGCCAACCGGGTCTAGCCCGGAGAAAAAAAACCTTGACTTGTAAACACTAAAAAAAAAAATCTTTCATACCTTTCATCAACTCTCTTGTAATTTAGACTATCACTTGTACTCTTAATGCTAAATGTATTGATATTGCGGTCAAATCATGATGCATTTCAATTATTAAACACGTGAAAAGGTTATCATAGAAAACAAGTAATTAATAGTTTTCAATTTTAATAGAATTTCTGTTTTTTTTAAAATTATTTGGGAGAGCCATTTGAACTTGAATCTCTTGCACCAGTTGAAAGAGAAATAGTATTAGACCAAAAGAACAGTTGTAATAAAATCTATATGATCAAAGACCCGTCATTATTATTCTTAGCATTTTGTTGATCATGAGACTACAATAGTGCACTCATTAGCTTCAATAACAATAAAATGGGGCTCTAAATCTTGAAGTTTTTAAGTGAAGGAGGCTTCCTAATCTTAGTGGCTTGCTCAAAGCCGTATGCTATCTCAATTAGCTTTGGCTCCGAACCCCTCAGCCCGCCAAAGGAGATGCCAAACGGTACCCCATCTTTAGTATATCCTGCTGGGACAACCACACCTGGGGAACCTGCTATGGCGAGCAACGTCGACACGGCTTCAGATGGAGCCACCACTGCGTCTAGCCTCTTCTTCGTCACGAGCTTCTCGAAACCATTTTTCGATAGCTTTGCCAAGTTTACCAGCGCTGCTTTCTCTGCATTGCCAATCCCATTTGTTGCTCCAGCTTCCAAGAGTAGGCCTTGGCCATACTCCTTCACTTTCTCCTGCATTGCCGGTAGCTCAACCAATTACTTTGGACAAATTCTGAGCATATAATTTGAAAGTAGCATAAACCCTTGCTCCTATTTACTCACCAGTTTTGAGTTTTTATTGTTGAAGGCTATCACGTCTGCCAAGGATCGGACTGGCGAAGCCACCAAGTTCTTGAGGTATGTGTTCAAGTAAATTTTGAACTCAGCAGACAATGCAATGATTTCACTACTTGCATTGTAGATTTCATCAAAATGTGCTATTTCCAAATTGTCTACCAAAACAGCACCTCTTTTCCTACATTAAATTTCCAAATTCCAACAACTTATTATGTCATCAAAACAGAACGCATGTCTCCAATTGGAGAGACTAATACATGGTTTTGTTACCTCAGAGTGTTGAAATGCTGTTCAAAAGTTTGAGTCTGCGAAGCGTCACCGACGAAGTTGAACAAGGCTGTCACTATCCCTATTCTCTTACCTCTAAGTCCATCAGGTCTGAGAAATTGTGCATAGCCGCCCTTGGGAATGTACCTCGATGCCTCACTTGTTGCAAGGTCATTGCTGTCAATGCCTGCAATGACATCAAGAACATATGCGGCATCTGTTGAGAATCAAAGATTATCCTTTAGTTTAGGGATTGTATAATAGAATGGGAATGTTATATTATTTGATTTCCTGTATATATTCTTTCCTAGCTAGTTAGCTTACTTGTAGGAGAAACCTACGGAATGTATTATATAAACATACAACAACGATCAATGAGAATTATTCTGGTCAAATATCTTTTCATACCAATTTTACATGGTATCAGAGCAGAGGAAACTCTAGCTCTTGGCCCTAGCCGCACCTATCAAATAGTCATCTTTCAACCCTAATTTTCATCCTTTCCTTGCCGCTGCCACCATGACCAAAGACCAAGAATCCATTGCATCAGGAAGCAAAAACGATGCTTCCGATCCCTTTTTCATTCACCATTCCGATCATCCTGGAATGGTTCTTGTTTCCAAAATCCTTAATGGAAACAATTATGCGACATGGTGCCGCTCTATGCGCATCTCCCTAAGCGCGAAGAACAAATTAGGGTTCGTGAATGGGACAATCAAAGCCCCTTCGGAGAAAACTAATCCTGAGAGTTTTGAGGTTTGGCAGCGTTGCAACGACATGGTTTTATCTTGGCTGCTTAATTCGATAGAACCAGATATTGCAGAAAGTGTGTTATACTCCACCACCGCACAAGAGATTTGGGAGGACCTTAAAGAACGTTTTTCCCAACTTAACGCTCCTCGTATTTTCGAGATACAACGCACCATAGCTTCCCTCTCACAGGAGCAGATGTCCGTTGCTGTTTATTAAACCAAGATGAAGAGTCTGTGGGACGAGCTATCTTCTTACAGCGACGTCCCAGCTTGTTCTTGCGGTGCCATGAAGAAGCATGTCGAACAGGAGGAACGAAACTCGTTGATGCAGTTCCTTATGGGGCTTAATGAGTCCTACAGCGCCATTCGAGGCCAGATACTTCTTATGCAGCCTCTCCCTAAGGTTCGCAAGGCTTATTCTTTGATCACCCAAGAAGAAAAGCAGCGTGACTTGGGTTCCAGCCAAGCAATCACCGAACCAGCAGCTATGGCGGTTCGAACCAATTAGCGTTCAAATTCTTCTGGGCGTTCAAACTCTTATGGGCGCAAACCTCTTCACTGCAGCCATTGCGATCAGGATCATCATACAGTGGACAAGTGCTACAAGCTACATGGTTACCCCCCTGGACACAGGCTTCACAAATCCGGGAAAGGCAAAGGGAAGGGTAGCAGCAGTTCCGCCAATAATGTGGCATCCAATGGTCCATCCTTGCAGGAGATTCATACAGCTATGCCATCTTTATCCGAGGATCAATGTAAGAAAATTCATGCCATGATGAGTGACAACACTGATCCATCTCACGTTGCACCACAAGCCAATACCGCCTCAGCTTCTTCAGGTATTTCTGAATTGTTACCCAATTTACATTGGATAATTGATAGTGGAGCAACTCATCATATTACATCGGATTCGAAATTCCTTACCAAGAGGATGAATACTTCCTCTATGTTGCCAGTCACTATGCCTAGTGGAGAAACAGCACCAATTACATCTACTGGGACTCTTCCTTTGAACTCATATTTTTATTTACGAGATGTGTTATGTGTGCCTACTTTTAAAGTTAATCTGATGTCCGTAAGTCGACTTACGAAAGGATTACAGTGCTCAGTAATTTTCTTTCCCACTTGGTGTATTTTACAGGATTTGAAGACGAGGACGACGATTGGTTTGGGTAAGGAGCGTGATGGACTCTACTACCTTGTGGCATTGGCATCTGACAGAACACCATCCACCACCCGACCTTCCTGTCATCTGGTTACAAGTCCTGGAGATTTATGGCATCGCCATTTAGGGCATATTTCATCCTCTCGTTTACGATTTTTAGCAAAACATTTGAATTGTTCATTTTCTTTCCATAATGTTTGTGATGCTTGCCATTTTTCTAAACAAACTCGCCTTCCTTTTGGCATTAGTTCAATTTCAACTTCAAGACCTTTTTCCCTTATTCATTGTGATATTTGGGGACCTCACAAAGTTCCTTCTCTTTCTGGGGCTCGTTATTTTTTAACTATAGTGGATGATTATTCTCGCTTTACTTGGGTTTTTCTTATGCATCATAAGCATGAAACACAAGGGATTCTAAAGTCCTTTTTTTCCATGGTTCAGACCCAATTCACTGCTACAATCCAAGCAATTAGGGTAGACAATGGGGGTGAATTTTCTTCATTGCGAGATTTTTTTAAAGAACAAGGCACCATTTATCAACATTCTTGCATCTACACACCACAACAAAATGGTGTTGTAGAACGTAAGCATCGCCATATTCTTGAGACCGCACGTGCTTTGCGATTTCAAGCACACTTGCCTCTCCGTTTTTGGGGGGAATGCATTCTCACTGCGGTTCATTTGATTAATCGTTTTCCCACTTTAGTTCTTTCCAAACAGAATGTCTGTTATGTTATATTATCAGACTGTCAGTCAATCTCGAACATTAGTTATGTGAACTTTTAGTTGAATGTATGTTTTAAATTGAAAGTTTCACAACATACCATACCAAGGATCTATCAAGAGAACTTAACCGTTTAAATTAATCAAACAAGGTATACAGGAGGCAATTAATGATCCTCAACTCACCACCCCTTGGCCACCTCTGCCACTCCAACCAGGAGGTGTATGATTGGACCTCCCATAGACCCACTCACTCAAGCTGGCCTTTCCCAGTATGATAGCCCCAGCCTTCCTCAATTTGGTCACCACACCGGCGTCCCGGGGCACAACAGAGCCAAGCAGAGCATAAGAGCCAGCTGTGTTGTTTAACTTGTCCTTGGTTGCAATGTTGTCCTTGACCAGAATGGGAATGCCATGTAACTTAGAGAGTGACACAGATGGTGCCTTAGTCTTGCGCTCGTAGTCAGCCTTGTCCGCAAGATAAAGCGCATCCGGGTTCACTTCTATGACCCCTTTGAGGAAAGGGTTGAGCCTGCTGATTTCCCCAAGGTAAAACTGGACCAGTTGCCTTGATGTGAGCTGCTTGTGCTTGAAAGCTAGTTGGATATCGTCTATGGTGGCTTCCTTGATTGAGAGTCCATGTCCTGCAGTTGTTTGTTGCCCAAGTGACAGTGCAAAGAGAAGAAGAATCAGAAAGAAGGATGAGAAGTGAGAGAGGCTTGCTTGTGCCATTGGATCAGTGAACACTAGAACTTGATTTACAACTTCAACTTAGAAATTGTGCCATGGATATAGGATCCCAAAAGTGAAAAGTACCCCTCAATTCACTTCTTAATAATTTGCAATTTGACTGACTTCATGATCATTGGAATGAGAAATTCTCTGGTCCTATTCCTATTGGCCACTGCCGTGAACCACTCACTCACGCACTTGAGTTTGATTGTGGTGACTAGACTAGTTGCTAGCTAATGCTCCCACCTAAAAGGATAGAAAATTAGTGTTGCATGGTGAGTTTGTGACCACAAGAAGAACCAGCTAGCACCAATTGCAATCTGTCGGCTGACACACTTGGAAGGTTGATTTTGTCATTTTTTTTTCTTACTTTAGAAATAGAAAGAATATACATAGGAATGCGAGAAACCTTCGATCTAACTTTCTTTTTTCACCTTTTGTCTTTTTCCTTTGTGTCACTTTCTTATATTTAAAACAAACAATATCATTAATACTTTAGACAAGTTAATTTTTGTTTTCCAAATTTACTTTTATTAAATTTATTGACTTTTTTTTTTCTTTCAATTTAATTTTTTTTATATATTCCTTCAATTTATACCCTTATCATCCTCCCTTCTCTCTTCTCCCACCACATATTTGACATTCTTCTCCACAACGTTACTGAAACATGGTTCTTCTTTTTTAGCCACTATTAGCCACTAATGGCCATTAATTGTTGTCTCAAACCCAAATAGCTTTACTAATTAAAATCTTGAGTACAAATTGTTTTATCACGATGGATTTTTATATTTCCTTGTTGTGTGCCAAACTCCAAGAATACTGTGTGGGACCAATAAGTAGCAGCATATGAAATAGGGCAGGGGAAAGAAAAAAAACATGGAGCTTTCTGATTTGAGGTTGGTATCAATGAATGTGATGGTGGGATCCAAATTAGGCTTTGACGTCTTCTTCTCTTGAGCTGGGTTAGGGAGTTGGGAACAAGAAAAGTCCCAACTAGGTAATGTGTTTTAATTAAGTGTCCCAAGACACACAAAATCATACTTTTTCCTTATTAGAGTAATCATAGACGACAAGTTGTTTGTACATTGTAGTCTTTCCACATAATTTTTTTTTTGGTCGAACTCTTTCCACATAATTTAGGTAGATTTATTTCACATAAGAATTAGTGATTTATGGGTTGTGGTTATGAAGTTAGAGAAATAATAGGTATAGTGAGTAGTGGCGGATCCATGATTCTTAGAATATGGGGTCATAGTGTAAAGGTTTCGAATTTTTTTTTTTTAAAAACAAAATTAACATTGAAAAATTAAACAATAGAATTTTCATTCCTAATCAACTAATCAAAACACAAAACATGTAAAAAAAAACCTAAGCACAAGACCCTAATCAAATATTTTAAAAAAAGCCCTAATAAACTAATCAAAACATAAAGCCCTAATCAATTAATCAAAACACAAGCATTAATTAATTAATGAAAACACTATCAATAACCCCTTAACCAATTGTTGATGAGAGGAGGAAGAAATATTCATTTGGGGGGGGGGGTTGTACAGTTGTAATATATGAAGAAATTGATATAAGAGCACTTTCATTCCTATGGGCAAAGGCAAGGCAATGGGTATCACTATTCATGTGAATAGTGGCAGCCCTTGCAATTTTGTTTTCACCCCTATTGGCTAGGGCAAGGGCAAGTACTATTCACATGAGATATGAGAAGATGAATTTGAAAGAAGTTTTTTATGTGGGAAGTAAAGAATATGACTAGGTATTTATATATATAATTCTGGATTTTTTGGTTTTTTTTTTCAATCTTTTTTGGTTGATGACGTCATTATGACATCAGCATTGTATCATTTTGCCCAGGCAGCAGCTCAGGCTGAATTTGCCCATGGGCTTGCTGGGCTCGTGGGACCCAACCCTTGCCCTGGCTGGACTTGGCGTGATGGAGTTGGATTGTGGCCTTTGGGCCCCCTCAGGTTGGAGACGTGCGTTGGAAGTGCTCTAAAGATCAGCATATTTAAGACCTGGTTTGAATGTGGAAAAAAGGGGTGGGTTATATTCTTTTTCTGTTTTTTAAAAGCTGGCTCAAAACTACGTCTAAGATATTATCGGGATAATATCGGGGATATTATCGATATTTAATACCTTGACCAAAACAACGTCGTTTTGCCCAGGCAATTTAAAAAAAGAAGAAGAAGACCTCAAGTGTGCTGCGCGCAACAACATCACAAGGTCTTTCAAACCTTTCATCAAACAGTTGGTGTGCGACCTTCGGGGTCGCACACCAGCCAGCCATAGGGTCATCTGAGACCTTTACAGCTACCTTTCCAGTTGCCATAAGGTCACATGACCCCTCTTGTCCTTCTGTGCGTCCGCCCTTGATAGTGAGAGCAATTTGATTAGATGATATTTAATTGGTTAATTATCACAGGATAGGAGTTTCACTTTGGCTTATTATTTACTTAGTTATATTATGTTTCCTATGGTTATGGATCATGTTTCTAATGTCTAAATCATACATATTTTTTGCCAATTGGGTCTAGCACGGTGAAAAAGAACCTGACTTGTAAACATTTTATAAAAAAAATTCTTTCATACATTTCATCAACTCTCTTGTAGTTCAGAATATCACTTGTACTCTTAATGCTAAATGTATTGATATTGTGGTCAAATCATGATGCATTCCAGTTATTAAACACATGAAAAGGTTATCATAGAAAACAAGTCATTAATGGTTTTCTATTTTAATAGAATTTCTGTTTTTTTTAATTATTCTTATTATTTGGGAGAGCCATTTGAACTTGAGTCTCTTGCACCATTTGAAAGAGAAATAGTATTAGACCAAGATAACAGTTGTAATAAAATCTAAATGATCAAGACCCGTCATTATTATTCTTAGCATTTTATTGATCATAAGACTACAAGGCCCTATTGGTACACCTCCTTAGATTGACTTGGATTGGACTAACTTAAATAACACCCCAAGCCAATGTTTGGTGCAACCCATCTTTAAGTTAAATGAGACTATACAATCCTGGCCTACAAAAAACACTTCACTCGTTGGCACAAAATAGAGAACTCTGAACTCGTTGGCCCATCTTTAAGTCGCTATTGAGTCCGCCATTATCCAACGTTGCTCTGCTCTCCTCTTCTCTTCGACGTTGCTCTGGCTCTCCTCTTCCACGTTGCTTTGTTTTCATCTTCTATTGTGCTCTACTCTCACTCACTCAAGGTTAGTTGTTCAACTCTCTTCTTCTCTTTCCACTCTTCTTCTCTGTTTGTCTCTCTCCTTGGTGATATTTGATGGGTTCAATTTGCTATTTCTTAGTTTGATTTTTAAGTTTTGATTATGTGGTTGTTTGTAGTTAGCTTAATTTGATGAGAATTAACATTTGTATTGGTTAATTTTCATTGGATTATAATTAGGTATTTTTCTAGGGTTTTCAATTTTGAATTGTTTTGATTATGAGGTTTTTGTTTGGAATGAGAAGAATAAAAGGGTAGAGGTCATGTGGCTAATTGCATGTTGTGATTGCAAACAGACATTTGGTTTTTGCAAACTGTGATTGCAATTGCATGTTGTGTTTGCAATTACTTAGTGACGGTTTGACAATTTGCATTAGGGAAGTTGAGCTTTCACATTTTGGAAATGTTCTAGACAATTTGTGGTTTCTGTTTCATGGATTATAATTGGGTATTTTTGAATTGTTTTGATTATGAGGTTTTTGTTTGGAATAAGAAGATATGAATAAATTGATGGGTGTAATTGGAGCTTTGAACAAATTTAATGAAAGTCATTGTCGTTTGCAACAGAATGACTAGATATTAGCAAGTGAGAAGAAGAAAAAAAGGGAATCAAATTTCTTCCATCCACCATCAATTTGCTCAAAGTTAAGCAATTCACAAAAGTTGAATATCTTCAGAAGGGCCTACTTTGTCTTATTTATTGGCCTAAAGCCACATGGGTTAGAAATTGGTTGTTGCGGAGTCAAATTCTGGCAGAGTCTTGTGAAATCAAATAACTAATTCTGACATCGGCCTTTTGCAGAAAAGTCTTGGATCAGATGAAAGAAACACAGCTGATATATTGGAAACACCACAAGTGCATCTCCAACCTTAGAAACACCACAAGTAGCTGCTATAGAGTTTGTTTTTGCGGCTTTATTAGTCTCAATTTGGAATTGTGGATGTTTATTTATATATGTTATTTAGTGGGTTTTTGGTTGATTATTATTATTGTTAGTCTGTGCGCTTGTGGAAAGTAATATGTGAACGTGAATTTGTAATTTCAAACCATGTGGATGATATATATAAAATATCTAACTTTTGCATCTATAAATATTGTATGACTTTTGCTTTATATGATGTTGGGATGGTTTGGTGCTTGTCTCACCACCATGTTTGAACGAAGAAAAGAAGAATAAAAGGGTAGAGGTCATGTGGCTAACCGCATGTTGTGTTTTCAAACAGACATTTGGTTTTTGCAAATTGTGATTGCAATTGCATGTTTTGTTTGCAATTACTTAGTGACTGTTTGACAATTTGCATTAGGGAAGTTGAGCTTTCACATTTTGGAAATTTTAAAATATATAGGCAAGTTTTGGAAAATTTAATACCAATTTTTGGTCTTGGAATTATAGTAAAAAGTCATATATAGTGAAGTTGAGCATGATGCATTCCAGCTATTAAACACATGAAAAGGTTATCATAGAAAACAAGTAATTAATAGTTTTCAATTTTAATAGAATTTCTGTTTTTTTATTATTATTTGGGAGAGCCATTTGAACTTGAATCTCTTGCACCATTTGAAAGAGAAATAGTATCAGTTGTAATAAAATCTAAATGATCAAGACCTGTCATTATTATTCTTAGCATTTTGTTGCACATAGACTAGTACACCATTATCTTCAATA